CTACATTGAGCACATCCAAATTAGACCACTCTTCTCCATTCCTTTCAAATCCAGATGAATACAGATTTTTAGTAGGAGGGCTTTAATACTTAACTTGGACTAGACCTGACCTATCTTTTGCAGTTAATCTTGTGTGTTAGTTTATGCAAAGTCCAAGGCAATCTCACTTTCAGGCTGTTAAAAGGATTTTCAGATATTTGAAGGATTCTCTCTCCCCTGGTCTCTGGTTTCCAAAATGTTCACAACAACTCTACATAAATAGTTTCTCAGATGCAGATTGGGGAGGTTGTTTTTTAGATCGCCGATGTACATGTGGTTTTTGTGTGTTTCTGGGAGATTCACTCATTAGTTAGAGTGCTAAGAAACAACCTACTGTGGCTAGGTCCTCCATTGAAGCAGAATACAAATCATTGACCAACACAGCTGTTGAACTAACTTGGATTTGCAAATTATTGGTTGACATTGGACTTGTTCTTCCTTGTCCTCCCAAAATCTGGTGTGACAACATATCTGCCATCTCTTTACCTAAGAATCCAATCTTTCATGCTAGAACCAAGCATGTGGAGATTGATTATCATTATATCCGAGAGAAGGTTTTGGCACAATCTATTACAGTCCATTTTGTTTGTACACAGGATCAAACTGCAGACATTTGCACCAAAGCATTGTCCAAGGATCGTTTTTTTCTTCTTAGAGACAAACTTTCTCTTCAGTTACCTTAGTTTAGTTTGAAGGGGGATATTAAGGGTAGTACTGTAAAATAACAATGAGTGGTATTGTTAGAGTTTGTTATAAAAGTTGGTTATACCTTACTTAGTCATTAAGATAGGTGGTTACTCTTATATGTAAATGTTGGTATACATATACATACCTAAGTGTAATCTTATTCAATATATGGAATACACAATCTTATTTTACATTCTCTCTCTACATCTTTCTCTCACTAAATCTCTCTCTAGATTCTAACACTTTATATATATATATATATATATATATATATATATATTATTTGTGTGTTATGGTTTCATGACCCTCTAAATGTTGGCCAACTTCATTATGATGAGTCTTGTCTAACTTGTCATGGCTGCTGAGCCTGCTGCTATGTTTAGAGTGTTGGAAGATCGTTGATTGGCCGATACATTCCAATTAGCTTGTGCTTTTGTGAATGCCATCTAATTATTTTCTGCCCCTTAATCAGTGATAAGAACATGTATCCTACTTAACTCTATTTGCTGGAATTCCTTGACATATTCTTTAATGGAATTTCACTTGAAGGAATAAAGTTAGTCAAGTAGTAATATAGTTTCTAGCTTCTTATTTACAGTCTTATTTAGTTTCTTAAACCACCTTTAACGGGGAGTTGCTAAATACTAAAATTTGGCACATGAAAGACAAATTTTGGGTTTTCAAATTTTTTTTATCTCAAACCCTCCAATGCTAAAATTTAGCAACGCATCTGTATTTAAATGTTGGACGAGTATTTAGCCTTAATTTTTTTTCTTCTGATTAACTGTTTTTCAAATATTTTTTGTTAGATATCTTAATTTATTTTTATGAATATTTTAATAAATAAAAAATTTATTCCGACTAAGTTTGAGGTAAGATTGAGTTAAATATTTAAATATTATTTTAACCATTTCATTTAAATTTGGGCCGTTGATCATATCTTTCACCATTAAATATGATATCATCTATTGTATGTTCTACGAGATTTATGAATAGAAAATTGTTGGAGAGGAAAATTTCGGATACTCCAATTCTCCACCAACAAGTAATCTTGAACACGTTGAGAAGCCTTGGACACCATCTTCACTTGTCAACAATGAGAGTGGGGGGACCTGCAAGAAAACACTCCGACGCTCAAGTCAGTCGTTGTTCAAAATAATTGCAAGACATTGTAAAGCTATCAAATACTTCCCTTTTTTTTTCTCCCCCTAGGCTGGTGGGATTCTTGGCCTTTTATAGGCATTCAAGTCTTAGGCTCCAAGTCCCACTTTCCTTCTATTTCTCCATGTTCCATAGAGTGGGTATTATGTTACTTGAATGTAGCTCCACTCCTCATGTTTGGTGTGCTAGTGGCTTATTTAGTGGAGGAGTCATTTTTGGCTCCCACATTGCCCCCTTTTTTCTTTGCAAACACATATCGTTTAGAGTTTGTAGAGGAAAAATGTTTCTTTGCAAAAATTCATTCAACTTAAGATTTCATCATTAGTTTAGCCTTCGGCTACGATCATATGGTCTTTGACCATGAGTTTGGCCTCCGGCCACAGTCATATTGGTCTTCGACCATGAATTTTGGGTCTTCGACCTTCGGTCTTGAGCCTTCGGCTCTTATTCGGTCTAGGTCTTCAACCCACGGTCTCATGATCTTCGATCATCAATTTATATAGTAATAGTATGCCCCCATAGTAATTAAAATTTGAATAACATCGACAGTACTAAAGAGCATGTGTAAGATAGAAACTCTTATCTGTTGGGCAACTTTGTTGTTGTTGAATTAAATGGATTTCCTTTGCTAACAACCCTTGGGTGCTTGCCGAATAACTGTTAGGCAATTTCATTACATCCATTGCAACCAGAGTGAACTTTGATTGTGTTTCCTTGCTTTGAAACCTTGAACACATGTTCTGTTTGATGACTTGGTAAGAACTCATTGTCTCTTTGTGAAATTGTTTTCCCAAGCTAGAATTGAATGCTTCAGGCCTCGTCCTTCTCATCTCTTGAGTACTTGTTGTCCCAATGGAATGGTTTCTTCATGCAATTCCTCAAATGGTTTCTTCGTGCAATTCCTCAAGGACAAGTTGCTTATCAGGCATCATCTTTAACTGTCTGATCTTTTGGGCTTCTCTTTTCTCTTCATGCTTGTGTTTTCCACATATTCGTTGACCGCAATCCTCACGCTTACGTTTGCCGAATCCCTCGCCAGAGGCATCCCCGAACAATCTTCCTTCGTAGCTTGTGTAAGCGAAGGGACAGGTGCTCAACCAGCTTTCTTCGCCCTATCATATCTTCGTTTAATTTACGAGTGAGGGCTGACATCTTATGATACGAGCGAGGATTTACGAACGAGGACTGACATATGATTTACGAACAAGGATTTATGAACAAGGATTTATATATGATTTACGAATGAGGACTAACATATGATTTACGAACCCGTGATTTACAAATGAGGATTAACATATGATTTATGAACGAGGACTGACTTATGATTTACGAACAAGGATTTATGAATGAGGACATATGATTTACGAACAAGGATTTTGATTTACGAACGAGGATTTACGAATGAGGACTGACATATGATTTATGAACAAGGATTTACGAACCCGTGATTTACGAACAAGGATTTACGAACGAGGACTAACATATGATTTACGAACAAGGATTTATGAACCCGTGATTTACGAGGATTTACTAATGAAGACTAACAAAATTTGACTGAGAAGGTTGTCTGACAGGCTATACATATATGTATATATTATATAAACTTCTATCCTATCTTGTCGAACTGATGAAAGCAGCAGCTGCAACACAAAAGTCTAAAAGTGCGTCTCCCTTATCGAACACGCCTGGTCTGCACACCCATTATTTAGGGTTTTGGCCCGTACCCCCATTGTGGCTCAGGTGGAAACCATAACTTCTCGATACGGCTTTTGTACGAATTCCCACAGACGGCGCCAACTGTTGGAGAGGAAAATTTCGGATACTCCAATTCTCCACCAACAAGTAATCTTGAACACGTTGAGAAGCCTTGGACACCATCTTCACTTGTCAACAATGAGAGTGGGGGGACCTGCAAGAAAACACTCTGACGCTCAAGTCAGTCGTTGTTCAAAATAATTGCAAGACATTGTAAAGCTATCAAATACTTCCCTTTTTTTTTTTTCTCCCCCTAGGCTGGTGAGATTCTTGGCCTTTTATAGGCATTCAAGTCTTGGGCTCCAAGTCCCACTTTCCTTCTATTTCTCCATGTTCCATGGAGTGGGTATTATGTTACTTGATTGGAGCTCCACTCCTCATGTTTGGTGTGCTAGTGGCTTATTTAGTGGAGGAGTCATTTTTGGCTCCCACAAAAATATTATAAAAACTAACAACGGAATAACCAAACGAAGTGAATATCAGCCTTTGGATAAAAAACTCGCTCACTCTTTGAGTCAGGTTGACAATACTTCTAACTAGTATCCCATGTCATCTTAACTGAGATTTACCCTTTTGATGACGTTGTTTTCGGGCTAAATAAAACTATTTAGACCATGGCTAGAGATTAGCTAAACTTGCCATGAGTTTGGACCTCAGCTCTCTCCCTCTTCTATCTCTACGTTAAGTATAGTTCTTATGTAGTTCTTTTAGGTTTGTGTTTGTTACATACGATCAATATTTATAAAATAACTTTCTAACATAGAAAGAAATGGATGACAACTTTTATTTTGTATAAATTATACAGTTCTTCCAATCCTACCATGAATATCCATCATGAAATTCCCTCATGACTACTCGATCTTTCTTCAATATATCTCAATCCTGTGGAACAAAGGCAGGGAGCCTAATTGAATGGGCCTGCCTTAGAATCCAAAGGGCCCAAGAAAAAACAATATATGGGCCGTGCTTGACAACCCAATCAGGGTCCAATTTAGATGCTCAAACCAGCCTTCGAAGGATGAGCATTTCATTAAGCCATTGATCTGAGCATGATTTGAGAAGTAATCAGATCGAAGCCAATTATCAATTATGGTCCAGAGAGATTCTATTGGCCGAAAAAGACAATTCAAATTTTTGTTGCCACTTGCCACTCCAAATAGAATTTGGTTGCACTAAAAGCTCAAGCACAAACTGTTATTCTTTCTCTTTCACAAAAAGCAGAAGGAAACTGAATTATTTTCTAAGAGGAGTAGTTGAAAGTTCGGCGTTATAGCACTATACAATCAACAAACCGATAATTATAGGGAGACTTTAATTTAAACCATATTTTTGTAAACAGATGATTGAATTATTACATAAATATTAATTAACGTATTTATTTCATGTTGATGATACATCACACTGTCATATAAAAAGTTGATATGCCTAGTATTATTCTAAACAACGAACAGGAAACAATAGCAAAGGTTCCATCGACTACAGTACACGCACCAAAGCATTATTTATCAAATTACACATCCTGTCCAGAGAAAAAATGCACACAAATGCATTTATATGATCCTAAAACATGTATTATTTATTTAGACGAATTTAGATTGAAATACAAGCAATACTAGGATCAGAATTTAGGATCACAGCCGAAGATTTAAGTCCAGCTGCTTATTATGTACATCTGACTCTTGTCTGGGTAATTGATGATCCATCCGGAAACTTCCTGGCCATATATGATCCATGGTTTCTTCAAGCATGAAGGGTGTCCATGCCATCCCAAAACCTGCGGCGGCTTCCCTAATTCTCGCCACCATCGACGACCCATCTGACCTGCCGCTAGGTTTCTGCACGAGAGAGTGAGGCTGGACTCCGAGTGACCTAACTGCTGCAGCGACAGGGGTAAACCGAAACCCCAACGCTGACATCATCATTCTGTGAGACTGATAACTTTTGGCAGCTCCCCTCTCTCTCTTGTGTGCGTTTTGATGGCCTCCCAAGGCTTGTGAGCTGTAAAACTTCCTCAGGCAAAAGTTGCATGAGAAAACTTTATTGCTATTGGATGGTTTTGGTGACGGAAAATCGGCATCGACTTCCGCGTCTGATGGCTCGTTGGAGATGAGGCTTAAACTCAACCAGTCTCCGAAATTATCACCTCCACAATCATCACCTAATCTTTCATCATTGCTTTCTATAATCTCATCATTTGCTTCTTGTGCTTCTGCCACTGCTTCTTGTTCTTGCTCCCTTTTGGAAATCATTGCAAACCCTAGACAAAACTCAATTTAAAAGGTATAAGAAATGGAGATTTTGAGATAGAGGGTTGAAGAAGTGGGGGAGCTTGGACTTAAATAAGGGGTGTGATGGAAAAGAAGGGAGTTAAGTTAGTGTTCGAAATGCAAACGTGGACATAACTACATTGGCTGAATTTAAGTTATTTTCCTTGATGTTTATACTTGTTTAAAGTATAATATCGTTTGTATTAAAAAATATATAAAAAAAAATTAATGTTCTAAACAGTCCAAGAAGGAAAGGGAATATGATAATGGTGGGGAGGAAGTGTCATTGGATATCACCAAAATATTTTATCTCTAAATCTATATGGTGCTCCCACTTTTTGATGCTTGAGACTTTTAAGGGGACCAGTTGCTTGTGTCATGCATAATAGTATTGGCCATTCAAAGCTTAGGATTCCTTAGTTCCTTGCTCATCTTTTCTTTCACTCCTCTTAGTAGCATCAATATAATTTGATTCCATATGGATGAACTAATCACAAACACTTTAAATTAACTACTGAAAATGTGCAGATGCTGAAAATTCCATAAAAACTTTCCAATTTCCAAAGTGCTTCTAGTGATGGAAAATTGAAATAAAAAAGCACTTCTAGGTAAATGTTGCTATCTAGAAGAGCCCAAAAGGTGCTTGTAGTAAATAAAACTACGTACGTAGCTAGATTGATACAGAAATGGTCCCAACTCCTAACCCTAACCAGAACCCTACATCATTTGGACCCGTTACTGCAGATTTAAAGCCTCCAGCATATGTTTATGTTTATGGGGTCTTGTTTTCAGATGATCAAGGATTTACAGTCACTCACGGTTGAATTTAATATTAAATATTAAGTTTAAAAAATTAAAAACACATATATTTGTTCTCCACCATTGATTTTAAATAAAATGATAAGTAATCATCAAGTCTTTGATTATCGGATAATCGAGAGAACATTTTTGAATATTTATGTGATGGACTCTCTGCAGATTATGGACACTTATTCGATTTGTCATGCAAAATTAAGTTGGTCTTGCCAGAGGTTAGATATGTACATTATTAAAACTTACAGAGAGATGGAGATTGATCTGTCTACTGCAAGAAATTAAAAATCTTACAGGCCCAATATTCATTAACATGTGGTTTTTGTCCAGATAGGAGGCGGAGAAAAAGATCACAGTGTTGGCTGCTAATTACACCAAGGGGAATGAGAAGTTTGGCTAAATTACATAATAGACAATCTAATTTGGTATCTAATTCGTCATCCACAAGATTCTAACCTAAAACCTCTCACTTGCAGATGAAAAGGAATATCACCAGATCATAGTAATGAATAGCTAAACGTTTAACCCTAAACCAATTAACAATTCAATGGGTGCTACCTCTACGCACAAAGACAGACACCCCACAATCAATGAGTTGATACATGATGTCCACCAATGAGGAGAGTGGAGTTGTTAAAAGATGCTGCCAATAATTGCTTATACATATGGGGCTGAAATGCAATGCAATGGTAGCTTTATCAAGAGTTTGGGAGGACCCAGCAAACTGACATTTAAATAAGAGTAATGTTAGGTATATCAAATTTATAGATTAAATTTGTAAATTATAATGTGTCATTAATAGAAAATAAGTACGTTAATTAATATTTAAATAATAATCCAAACATTAACAATCATGTCATATGGTTTACAAAATGGTGAATAATGCTATTCACACACTATTTATACCTCTCACACATCCTTGTTAATTTTTGTCCATTGATTTTCTTCAATTCATTTAATATCACGGTCAGAAATAAATAAATAATATATATATATATATATATGTGTGACAAGTAAAAATAAATATGTGAATAACTCTGCTTAACAAAATTTGGTCAACAAACTTGATAACGTATGTGAGGACATATACAGATATACAGGTGGGATGTCTGTTTTTCCCATGTAGGGTTTCTGTGGATAATTGTTTGATCGTGTAGTAGTAGTGGGCTATGTGTGCAAATATACATCTGTACAATCAGAGCTGAGAAACCACCACCACACAATTCTTATAAAACAAATCAGAATCTTGGTGCTCATCTGATTAAATAGTAATAATAAAATAATAATAAATAATCATGAATTTAATATAGATGCCCTAGTTTTCTCGAAGGTGTGGCTCTGAATCTTGGTTGGGATTGAATTAAAAAATGTTTGTGTAGTGGAGTTGGATGGATGAATCAGATTATGTGTGCTTGGAGATTGGATTTGCTTTGTGCTTCTTGGGCTTGGGCCGTTTAATCATCAAGCAAAACAAGTGTTTTCTAATTCAATTTAAAGCATAAAAGGGAGAACCAAATGTTTAATGCTAAATTATAAAATAAGAATCGGTCATCGTTCATGAGATATGAACTCAAGACTTACTACGAAAGACATTGTCACTACGACGAAACCGGTGAAGACTAAGTGCTACGTAGTACCGACACTATTGCCTTCATACAAAACACCCTTCCCTCCTTCCACCTCTCAACCAAGAATCAGAGAAGGAATATGCAGGGCATACAGAAATAGTTTGAAGTGGTAGAGATTTGGTTCTCTAAGAAAGGCAAATAATCGTATCGTATCGAGGGATTATACGCAAATTATGTAGAGAGTCGTAATCTTATCCCGGCATCAAGTAAAGCAGTTGTCGATAAAGATCGAAACAAGGATATAAGTTTGGATGCCGAGCAAGTGGTGATTCGAGCGAAACATCAAAATATATGCCCTCAGCTTGTTCATGTACTGCAGGGATGCAAACATACCAGATTCTGAAGCCAACTCAAACCTTTTGCAGAAAGACAGGCTCTAAAGTAATTCTCGACGTATGACTTCTGAAATTAGACCCAACACTCTCTCCAATAAAATGGTATCCAACAATCTCGATATTTAAGTGCATTTCAATCTCAAATTTGAAATTTTCAGACTTCAATTTCGATTCATTAAAATTCGGAAATTTTTTATCAGAATTGGAAAATTTCGAATTGAGAAATTAATTGGATCGGAATCGAAATCTCCTATCGAGCTTGGATGGAATTCAAGCTGGCCCTCAAATTCGTGCAAATTGCAAACTCATGTCGGATGCAACATGTGAAATGCGAGACAAATTACGTAGTGATTTCCGTGGTGCGGGTCAGGGTGTGCCTGGTGCGGTTCAAACACCAGCATGTGAAGAAACAAGAAGCACAAATCACTCACTATATTGTTCATTTGAGTATAACTCATACACCGATGAACCCTTACGGTCCTTACACAAGAAACATTGATCGCATGTTGACTTACTACGTATGAGTATGAGAAGAGAATCATTCATGTTTCTTACTTCCTGACTGTGACGAATAAAAAAAAAGCGACTCCCAACTTAAAATTAGTAATCCAAAACCCTCAGAACCGAGAAGTGGTTCAACTGGTGAAGGGGAGGTAGTAAGTAAACATGGGATGAGAGATAAGAACAGGGAAGAGAGCAATTTCTCAACAAAGTTCACATGCAGTGTATGGACCCGACGAACAAGGTTGACATGCAAGTGTATGGACCCGATCAACATGAATTTGACCTGATTCATAAATGACGTTTGACATTTGGCTACGAACACAACTTGAACAATCATGACACCCTTTTACCATCCAGTGTAAAATCTATAAGATTAAGGCAAAACAAATGCAGCTTACGGGAACAACAATTGAACCCCTTTATGTCACATATTAAATTTCAATTTGGATCCATAGATTCAAATCGCAATAAACAGTAGTAAAATAACATGACCAGACAGATTAAGTAGTTGTATGGACTTGTAATTCTGAACAAAAAAGCCAACACGGGTCAAATGGCTTCTAAGAAAATGAACACATAGTTGTGAAACTAGAAATTATCCACTAAAATGTGAAATTACTTACTATACCCACCTCATCAAAGATAAGGAGTATAGAATGCTTTCACTATCAGAGCACCACGAAATGTAGCAATAACTGCTGCTGTGTTGATCCAACAGAAGCTTGTTCAAGTACCTACACAATACCCAGAAGACCAATAAGCTGAAAAGCAGATCAAAACAGACAGTACTTCCACACAGATAGACAATAACGTAGCCTTGTCAAGTTGGAATCGGATAACCCAACAAGCATTCACTTGGGATGGCACAACATAATAGATGGATAGTTGAATGTAGAGCAGCCACAATTCTGTTCAGTTAATTGGAATTTGAAGGAAAAATAACACCTATACACAAGCTTTCATTATCTACCACCAAAATTTTGGCGACAAAACAAACCGATGTAATTCCAAATGCAACAGAAAATCAGAAGTATTAAATACAAATTCCGCACTCAAGCAATTTCTATTTGGTTCAGAAACAACTATAAGCTTTATTTTCGATTAAACAAACACTGCATTGCATATACAATAAATTCAAATTTCCCATCTTTGCCCTATTTTCGATTGAAATTCTTATCATTTCACTACCATTTCTCAAAATCGAACATACAGATGACAAAAAAAAAATCAATAAGACCGAAAAAAATCCGTAAAAAGCAATAAGCTAGTGCAAAGTATCATGAATCACACGCTTCAGAAAAAACCATTAAGCGCTGACTAACAGTGCATTGCGCACACAAAATATTCAAAGTTCCCAATCGTTTTTTTTTTTTTTTTCCACTGAAAGTCCTTATCATTAAACTCCCATTTCAACAATCTACCACACAGCTAACAGTAAAATCAATGAAATTTAAGGGGGAAATAAACTGTCCATACAAGACGCACCGCAGAAAGAGAAAAACTACGAGGGATCAATGGAGGTACCCTGAGACAGCTCGCAGCAATGGCGCGCTTCGACGGAGATGTGGCTTGTGAGACGAGCCGAAGCCAGGGCGCTGTGCAATGGCATCAGCGAGTGCGCGCAGGCCAAATGGCCCGCATTGACCGGGAGGGAGAAGAGGGTACGGCGGGAGTTGCCGCCGAGGAGATTACGAAGCGGAGTGCGAGGGAGGGATGAGATCGACGGCGATGACCGGAATGTTGAAGCTCTTGCGGTTGAGATCAGAGACCTTGACAACGACGACCCAGATCGCCACGCCATATCTTTGCTGGCTGGAAATTTGGGAATTGTGAAAGGGGAATCGGAGGCAAGGGTTTTAGGGCATGTGGATTTAAACCCTAGAAGGCTAGAACTCAAGGTAGCTATCAGTTTTCTTCACTGTTGCAAAAATATAATTGGGCCTGTTTTAGATTTGTTTTTTTAAGCTCGGTCCAGTTATCATTGGGCCTGTTTTAGATCGGCTTTTTCCGATTATGGTCCAAATTGGGATTGGCCCATCAATATTGAGGTAAGTTTATTTACGTGTTGCGTGTACACTCAATTTCTGTCTCTAAACACTTTTTGTTTTATCAAATGTCAAATAACTTTTATACTTATGTGTCAAATTACTATAAAGGACTCTTACATTGTTTTTATTTCTTTCGGTTCATTTCTCGTCACCACTAAAAGTCTCATCAACACACAAAATAAGGAGTTGTGAGTTTATTTTTATCGTGCTTCAGAAACAGATAATGATTCGAGTTGCAGAGTCTATACTCAGTTGCCTTTAAAGACTTTGTGAACCTCCCAAGTCACCGCCTAAACGATTGCTTGAGACATACAAGAACGAACTTTGCTTACACCCCGATCAAACATTTCCAGTTTGCATATTACATCTATTGCATCCAGTGGGAACTCTGGAGACAACACTGCTTATGTTTTGTTGTCTCTGGCACACAAAAATTTGAGTAATCAAATTGTGATATCTCGTCCTGAGATTTATTATATTTTATTATTAGTAGTAGTTAAATTATCAAAATGCTCTTGAGATGCCACGTAGGCTTTTCACGTGGACCTCAATTTTTCTTTCATTTTACCACTTTTATTTTACTATTTCTGAATAATATTCATTTTTACTAACGCGTGAATACAAACGGAATTGAACTCGGAACGTGTATGATGTAATTATGCTTCCTTTTACAAGAAATAAATTCGAACGTTTTCGTATCCTATTACCATATATAATTAAGAGTGAGACCCGCGTTGAAATATTTTATGGGATTTGGAAATTCCATTTTCGTGATTCCCTGGAGTTGTCCCATTTTCCCTTATTTTAATCACCAATTTGCATTTCTGTCTTTTTTTAATCATATTTTCTTTCCACTTCCTCTTCCCTATGCTTCTCCTTCCCATGCACCATCACCACTCTCACATTCCTGGCTCCACCCATCAAATCAGCCAAACCCATCCTTTTCAGCCCACTATTTCCTCTCATCCTCTCCTCTCATACGTGGCTCTCTCTCTTCTCACTAACTTTCACTCAGTTCTTTATCCTTCTTTTTCTTTGGACAAGGATTGCTCTCGTGCCCTTCTGTTTTGTATGGTTATGGTTAAGTCACGTCAACATTTCATATTATTTTTTTTATAGAGATAATAAGACAAAAATGAATAGCAATATAAAATGTTGACGTGGCTTAACCGTGGTCACACAAACAGGAGGGCAGACAATCCTTGTCCCTTTTCTTTTCCCTTTAAACCCTTACTTCTCTCTCCTTCCACTCGAATCACTCCCTCTCTGTTGTAGCTCTCTCCTCACTCTCTCCCCCTCAGTGCATGTCAAAACCACCATGACACCACCTTCAAAAAATTCTCAAATCACCAGGAACACTAGGCAATTTGTTCAAACCCTCGTGGCCATGCCTAGCTTGGAAAAAAACATGAACTTTTCGTTACGTGTCTCGGTAAGCTTCGACTTTCTCCCTCAAGGTTTTCATCAAGTTTTAGTGAGATTTCACTCATGCATGCATGTTTTAGCGAACACATAGACAATTTCCTATTCCACCATGTTTGCCAGCAAGTTGTAGGATTTTTCCAAGCTAACCCAGGCCAAACCTTGTTAATTTGGTTGAGTTTGAAGGAGTAGGATGACTTCCCATAACCTGTAGGCTTAAGCTTGCATGCTCGAATCCACTGCGAAACCAAAGAAAATGAAGAACTTCAACACGGACCGTCACTTTCAGGTTATTTTTTTACGAGCTCCGGCCAACTTTTGGCCTTAAAATAGGTATAATCTTATTCCTCTCGTCCTAAGCTTCGTTTTGAAATATTATGAGCCAACTTTGGTTGTGTAGCGGCTCCGAACGGGGCGTTTGAATTTCTTCTCAAATTTCCGACGAAAATCTCGTTCTTGTGCAAACTAAGGAAAATTAAGTTTATTGCATTAATTATTATTTCTTTAATGATTAGTGTAGTAATTTTTCATTTAGGAGAGGACCATTCGAAGGTGTACCGCGAGCAGAATAGTTGGACGGTTATGACATGCATATACCTGTGAGTGGGTCTTTTCGTTTTTAGGTATATATATGTATATGTGATTTTTCCCAACAATTGCTTTTATTACTAAGATATCATATTTAGCTTTACAAATAGAATTTTCATACACTTTATGTTTTTAATATTATTTGTGAGCATAAACTTGTGGCATGATATCCTTGCGTTTTATCTGCTAATCATTACATTTTTGCACGGTGTCTCTTAGTTATTTGTATTGTCCTAGATTAAGGAACAGCTTCATGCGTAGTTCACATGCACCGTCTACATTCGCTTTGGATCCAGAGTTAGGTGTCAGCATGTCCCTTTGTCTGATGTTTTGGACTCGTATGTGATGCGACTACTTCAGCTTACATGATGTAGTACTAGAGTGTAATATCTACATCCAGCTTGTTCCATTGTCTGAATATCTCTGCAATGGACTTGTGTGCCTATGTAAATTAACGAGCATTGATTTCTTGTAATAACGATTTGAGATTTAATATTGAGATACCTTGTTGTTGTACCCTATATCTTCTGACTCACTTCTGTTGCAGAGTACCGTATCACATAATTGTATTAGAATATTTTTGGGAAACTTTAAACTTGTTTTATAGTGAGGGGTTACACATTTTTGAAAACGGTTTACAAAACTTTATTTTTCAGGCCCACTCGCTCTTATTTTTCACCCTTCCAGGATTTTAGTGGCAGAGGTTTCGTGATGACAATGATTCCTAATAAAAGCTATCATGTAGGAGACTTCTCATTTCGGTATAAATGCCCTTACTCTTCTTTTACTGCAAATTATCTATGCTCTGACATCACTTGTGTGATATGGGTTCAATCTAAGCTCACATGCACACTCTAAATTAGTCACATTTAGGTTTTAATTTATTCACATTTTCCACATCACTACACTTTATGGTTTCATCATCTTTCAAGTGTCGGCTAACACATTGCAATTCAAGTGCCCAGGTGGACATTGCAAATTGGGGTGTGTCAATTTGGTATCAGAGCATAGGTTAAGCAGTATCGCTATCATCACACATGTGATGTAAGCATTATCGGTTCTTGAATTCTAATGTCATAATTATGCCACCTCATCGAACATCAAATATGTCATCTTTTCATGACTTTTGGGCAACTTGGAATGACTATCACTAACACTTTTCTACGACTTATCGACCTTCTAGAAGCATGCTTTGGCGACTGCCATTAGACTCTTAAGTGAAGAACCTCCTTGCCTAAAGAAATACCTAAAACGAAGACGTTTTGTTGACCCTGAAGCACGGTAGACATATCGATAATTATGTACCACCAAAAATTTACTGATCAATACCAACTACAATCCAACCATCGTTACCAACCCCTCTTTGTTAGGAAACCACAAACGCTTTCATGCTTGACAGTCTTTATTTAATGTGCCACCTCCTAGAATTTCCTCGAGGTTTTGCTTCACGTCGATGTTTCGAAAATGTCTCCAGTGACTATGTCAGTTTAGAAGTGGTTGTATTTAACAGAAGAACATTCACATTGGGTCCCCGACAACGTCAAACTTTCAAACAAGTCAGTTATGATTCCGAATCTTCAGGAGGAATATCAAATTTCAACAAATCCCATTTTGAGGTAATGTTAACCACAATTCTCATTCTCGAGTTTAGGGCAGTTTCACCAACACTAGTTTTCATAATTACTTCTTATGCAGTATCCATCACTAAGGTGAATATTGGCACGAGAGTACAATTTGTTATACTTACAATTAACATACATACCAAAAGTAGTAGTCAACGTAACTAAAAGCAACAAAATCACCTCACATAAGCAGCCTTCCTAGAAAATCTTACTTACTCTTCCGACCATGCCTTTGGCAGTAACCAGCCTAGGTGACACTAATTGTCACTAGAACAAGACTGTCCTATATCCGAGAGTTGTGAACCAGTATCCAGGCGGTATGATCTCCTTATATTGAAAATACATTGTGATATATGGTTATCATACCTTATTGCTAGGACACTGGTTTACAGTTTCATAGAGGTAGACATTACTAGTGTAACATCCCACATTGTCCAAGGGAGTGGATCATGTAAGCTTTGTATGTATATTCTCATCTCTACCTAGCACGAGGCCTTTTGGGAGCTCACTGGCGTCGAAGTTCATCGTAACTCCGAAGTTAAGCGAGTTCGCGCAAGAGCAATCCCATGATGGGTGACCCATTGGGAAGTTCTCGTGTGAGTTCCTAAAAACAAAACCGTGAGGGTGTGGTCAAGGCCCAAAGCGGACAATATCGTGCTACGGTAGGGTCGAGCTTGGGATGTGATAATTTGGTATCAGAGCTTAACCCTGGCTGCGTGTGTGCCGACCAGGACGTCGGGCCCCTAAAGGGGGTGGATTGTAACATCCCACATCGACTAGAGGAGTGGATCCTGTAAGCCTTTTATGTATATTCTCATCTCTACCTAGCACGAGACCTTTTAGGAGCTCATTGGCTTCAGAGTTCATCGAAACTTCGAAGTTAAACGAGTTCACACGAGAACAATCCCATGATGGGTGACCCACTGGGAAGTTCTCATGTGAGTTCCCAGAAACAAAACCGTGAGGGTGTAGTCAGGGCCCAAAGCGGACAATATCGTGCTACGGTGAAGTCGAGTCAGGGATGTGACAACTAGAATACCAAAGAAACGTTAAGTTGTGGCACCACCAACATACACACATATCAAGACAAGTAGAGCCGACGGAATCACAATCATAAAAAC